CCGGCATGTGGCGGGCAAAGGGCTCGGCCGGGATGCGCCTGTTGCCACACGGGCGCGCCCTGGCCCATCGGTGGATCCCTCGCGGTGGGCTCATTTCCTCCCGCCCGGGTTACCATGGACGTTCTCGGGGGTGGAGACTTCCCCGCCCGAGCCGCGTGTGGGGATGTGCGGGCGTGCGAGGGAACTCCGCACCCGAGCCGGGGGGGCGGGGGCGGGGGCAGGGGCAGGGAGTTGGGGTGCGTCAGGGTCCTTCCCCCGAAGGCACGCCGGCGATCAGTGCGCATTTGAAACAGCAGCCCGATCTTCACGACCCCGGCGCCCACGCCCCGCCACAGGCGGCGGCCCCGGCCCGAGCGGCCTGCGCAGGGCCGAGACGTACGCGAGCCTCCTCGGCGCGCCAGCTCGCCGGGAAGGCATGTCGGCTTGCGGACCCGCCGCCATTCCTCCCAGCGGCGCCGGTGCCTTCTTCCTCGGAGTCTAGCGGCATCACGTTCTGACTTTGGTTGGTTCTTTTCTGCCCGACCGACCAACACGGCCTGCTACTTTTGGAGACAAAAAACACCCATCCGCCCACGCCCAGGCGGGGGCGCGTGCAAGCACGGCGCCGCCCCCCCCCCCCCCCCGCCCAGCTGGCCTTCCACATGCGCCGCCGGTGTGCGGAGCAGCTCCCCACGGCCGGTGGGCTGATGTGCGCGTCCCCGGGACCACAGGGCGCCGGGCTCGATTCACATGCCGACGACTTGCGCACGCGCACACCCGCCCCCCCTGGCCCGGAGGTATGGGAGCTTTCATTGTCAAAGCATGCCGCGGACACGAGGGCGGCGGGGCGCCCGCGCGGAAAGGGCACACTAGACCCGTGGCTGGGCGGTCCCGAAACCCCGGGGACACCTCCCGGCGCCGGGCCCGGCTCCGGGAAACGAGTTTGTGGGTTTCATCGTTGTTATTGTTTTTTTTCGCCCCGGCCCTTTCGATGGCCGGTCGGGGACTTGCACCACGGCATGCCGGGTGCGCACGCACGCACGCACGCACGCACGCACACCGGCCGATAGGCACACACGCGCGCACGCGCCGGGACCATCTCCACCGCGGCGGGACCGCCGGGCCCGAATTTCCGGGTCATTTTGTCCCGGTCCGAGTCCTTCTCCCTGCCGCATGCCCGTCCAGGGGTAAGCGAGTGTTGTGGTCGGGGGCGTGTGAGCGGATGGTCTTCCACCGACGAAGCACCAGGCTGTGCCAGGATGTGTTCCCGCGCTGGGTGGGTGAAACAAATCCACCCTTCCCCGGGTGCTCAAATAGTTCCGACTTCTGGGAGCCCTCTTGCGCCATACACTTGCCGCGGCACAGGGCGCGCACACGGCCTCTTGAAAAAGCAAAAAAAGGGGGCGGGCGAGGGGAGGCACACCAACACCGCGCGACCTCGCCGCGCGCACAGATGTACACACATGCACACGGCCCGGCCCCACACACACACACACACACACACACACACACCGGTGACTTGCTCTTTCAGGCCCACCACGCACGTTGGTCCGCGGGTATTTCCAAGCTCCACCGTGTCCGCATCCACGCTCCCAGCCCCCGCCCCCGCCAAAGGGGCGTGCCTTTCGTCTCGTGCGCGCGCGCGCGCGCGCGCGCGAACTAGACCTCGGCGCTGTCCCCCCCCCCCCCGGCCCCCAATGTCTTTCGCTTTCTCGGCGCACATGAGGCAGAAAGCCGCAACTAGAGATGGCGGGTCTGCCGCGGGACCCTGTCTCAGTGATTGGTCGTCTCCGGCGCGCTCGGGCGCGTGCCCCATGAGCCGGTGGAAACCCCACCGGCGGCGGTTCTCCCGGCCTCGCGCCAGGTCCTGCGCCAGGCCCCCGTCCTCCGGCCCGTCCCC